AGGTAAAGGTCTCACGCGTGTTCCGTCTTTTCTCATGGCAAAGGGATTTTTAATTAAATGCAATAAATTTTATCTTATGTATTAACTCGTTATTTCATCTGACTCCATAAAATAAAAGGTTTTTCAATGATATCTGTGCATCATTAAATATACGTGAATGTTTGACTATTCCTTTTAACTCTAATGAAAATAAAGTCAAAGTCTGTTAGAATAATCAAATATAACAATTTATTATGTCAGGTAAATGTATTATTACAATTTCAAAATCAATTGAAAAGATAATCAATGCAAACCATCAAATGTTCTAGAACAAAGAGGAAAATCTTTTACCCGACATTATGAAATACATTCAGAGTCTCGGCGACCCTCAGCATTCACGGCTGATCTGAGATACAGAAAAGGCCCTGATCCTTCCGCTGCATTTCATTATATAGCCAGACCTCATTTCAAATGTAAACATGAGTTACTGCGATCACCCCCCCAGACTTACTGGGGGGAGAAGTTGACCATTTGCTAACAGTGGGAATTTGCATTCAGGAATTTACACCTTTTAGGAGTAGGACCATGTCTAGAGACCACATTCCTTTGTGTACCAGTTATCCCTAAACTCTTAAAAGCCTTATTACCTTTTGTTTTACTTATTTGGAAATAGGACATTTGTACCAGTCGCACTGAGACATTTCAAATAATACTAAACACATGTATAAAACTGTATGATAGTTGTTCAAATTAAAACCATATAGATTCTTGTGTGAGTTTGGGTGATCTCTGCAAGAGTGAGATAGTTCAAATGTTAATTTGCAGCAAGGTCCTTCGTCTCATAGACCAGTGGTGAGGTCTATCTCTTCAACCAGTTTTTCCAGTCTTACAAGTGAAAGACTGTTGTCTTATCTACTGGTTGTCTTATTGTTGTGGGCTTTGTGTACGGGGTTAGGCCTATTTGTTATAATACACAAGAGAGCCCAGTGGAAATATTACAAATGGGTTGTTGCCTTCCCTCCAAGCCACGCTGGCAGAGTTTTTGGTCCCTGTAAATAAATGAACATTTTTGGCTCGCATTTTAATAAACTTGCTCCCTAAAACATAACGAAATATTGCCTCAGACCACATTACAAATGAAGCTGCACAGTGGGAACGCAGGTTCAGTTCACATTTTTAAGAAAGAAACACTTGTTTCGCTAGATATTTGAGTAAATTACAACACAATACTTACATTTATAAGTGTATTTCTTGCTGCCACAGAAGAACTATCCATCACACGCCATTTTCTTTGGGGAAAAAAAATCCTGTCGTCACCGGCACGCAATGATAGTCTGCGAAGGATCCACTCGTTCTCGTTCCGTCGGGGAAAGAAGGGCTGCATTCGAAGGAGTCTTTGAACTGGGACAGCCTTCGAGTGTGCAGACCCTGAACTGGGACATGAAAAGGCCCAGCTGAAGATCATCAAGCTCCCACAGGAGCTGCTGACACACTTCTACTGTTCATCTAAAACAGTCTGGTGTGGTTCAGACATCAGGAGAGGATTATTGGTTCCCCTGCTCGCATTCAGGACCTGTAAAATCATCAGACTCTCTCACACACACACACACACACACACACACACTCACTGGACAGTTTCAGATCATCAGGCACAGGAACAGCTTCTTCCCAAAAACCAGTTCCCTCTTCAACAGTTAAATGTCTTCCAGTGCAATACCCCACTTTTTTTGTGCAATATCCTTGTAAATTCATTTAGTCCTTTTTATTTATATTATTAACATTACTGTAAATATTTTCATCATCTATAAATGTGTATTCTGACTAAACCTATCAGTGTCTTTATACTTTTTATATTTGTCATTCTTAAAATGTTATAAGGTGTCTTATATTTGTGTGTACTAGAAGCTTCAATATCAAGGTAAATTCCGTGTGTGTGTGTGTGCACTTTGCAATAAAGCTTTCTGATTCTGATCTGAGCCTAATGATTCTGCCACTAACATTTTGAAAGTCTCATACACCCACTAGCAAACCGTGTAAAAGCCCATTCACATACATAAGAGTCTAAGACTGTTGAAAATCTGTGGTTAGAGTATCACGCATCTATGCCAGTTACCATTCAAACCATACAGTATCAGCATAAACACCAAGCAAGTGGTTTAATTTACACAAACCGCAGTGATCTTAATCATGATTACTGGGAAAAACAGAGTCTGCAAACAGTTTAAGTATTTTGCTACCAATCCTTCTTTATTTATAATAAAGGAAAAGCAAGTAGGTCAATTAGCCAGAAAGACGACGAGTGTTCGCTAGTGCAGTCGCACGACAGGAGCATCTGATGTCTTTGGTCCGAACCGGAGCAGAAGGAACGGGATGGTGAAAGCGAATGACTGAAGGCACTTGATTACAGCGGTCTCAGATCATTTGGAAAAACAAAAACGAGTCTCTTTCTCTACACATGAGGAAGAACAGAAGTTGCTTGATAACAGAGTTCAATCAGAGAACTAATAAATCGCACTACATACATGGCCGGAGGCTACAAAATCATTATACATATAGTTTACATATATACAGGATTGAGCTGAAAAGATGCTGATCATCATCAAGCAACCAAAGAAAAGAGACAGATCTGAATTAACATGTGAGCAAAACAATCCAGATCTCCTGACAGACAGAAGAGCTTTTCTACATCCTGATCAAACACAGACGCTTGTGAATCTGATATCCCAGAATTCAAAGCAAGCGCAAATTCTTTCCAACGAGAGTCTTTCAGGAAGGCAAAAGGAAGCGGAAGAGCATGTGAGGAGCAGATGTGTGTGTGGAGGAGGAGCAGATGTGTGTGTGGAGGAGGAGCAGATGTGTGTGTGGAGGAGGAGCAGATGTGTGTGTGTGGAGGAGGAGCAGATGTGTGTGTGGAGGAGCAGATGTGTGTGTGGATGAGGAGCAGATGTGTGTGTGGAGGAGGAGCAGATGTGTGTGTGGAGGAGCAGATGTGTGTGTGAGGAGGAGCAGATGTGTGTGAGGAGCAGATGTGTGTGTGGAGCAGATGTGTGTGTGGATGAGGAGCAGATGTGTGTGTGAGGAGGAGCAGATGTGTGTGTGGAGGAGGAGCAGATGTGTGTGTGGAGGAGGAGCAGATGTGTGTGTGGAGGAGGAGCAGATGTGTGTGTGGAGGAGGAGCAGATGTGTGTGTGGAGGAGCAGATGTGTGTGTGTGGAGGAGCAGATGTGTGTGTGGATGAGGAGCAGATGTGTGTGAGGAGCAGATGTGTGTGTGGAGCAGATGTGTGTGTGGATGAGGAGCAGATGTGTGTGTGAGGAGGAGCAGATGTGTGTGTGGAGGAGGAGCAGATGTGTGTGTGGAGGAGGAGCAGAGGTGTGTGTGGATGAGGAGCAGATGTGTGTGTGGATGAGGAGCAGATGTGTGTGTGGAGTGGAGCAGATGTGTGTGTGGATGAGGAGCAGATGTGTGTGTGGATGAGTGGAGCAGATGTGTGTGTGGATGAGGAGCAGATGTGTGTGTGGATGAGGAGCAGATGTGTGTGTGGATGAGGAGCAGATGTGTGTGTGGATGAGGAGCAGAGATGAGGAGCAGATGTGTGTGTGGATGAGGAGCAGAGATGAGGAGCAGATGTGTGTGTGAGGAGCAGATGTGTGTGTGAGGAGCAGATGTGTGTGTGGAGGAGCAGATGTGTGTGTGGAGGAGCAGATGTGTGTGTGGAGGAGGAGCAGATGTGTGTGTGGAGGAGCAGATGTGTGTGTGGAGGAGGAGCAGATGTGTGTGTGGATGAGGAGCAGATGTGTGTGTGGATGAGGAGCAGATGTGTGTGTGGATGAGGAGCAGATGTGTGTGTGGATGAGGAGCAGATGTGTGTGTGGATGAGGAGCAGATGTGTGTGTGGATGAGGAGCAGATGTGTGTGTGAGGAGGAGCAGATGTGTGTGTGAGGAGGAGCAGATGATGTGTGTGAGGAGGAGCAGATGATGTGTGTGAGGAGGAGCAGATGATGTGTGTGAGGAGGAGCAGATGTGTGTGTGAGGAGGAGCAGATGATGTGTGTGAGGAGGAGCAGATGATGTGTGTGAGGAGGAGCAGATGATGTGTGTGAGGAGGAGCAGATGTGTGTGTGAGGAGGAGCAGATGATGTGTGTGAGGAGGAGGAGATTGTGTGTGTGAGGAGGAGCAGATGATGTGTGTGAGGAGGAGCAGATGTGTGTGTGAGGAGGAGCAGATGTGTGTGTGAGGAGGAGCAGATGTGTGTGTGAGGAGGAGCAGATGATGTGTCTGAGGAGGAGCAGATGATGTGTGTGAGGAGGAGCAGATGATGTGTGTGTGAGGAGGAGCAGATGATGTGTGTGTGAGGAGGAGCAGATGATGTGTGTGAGTAGGAGGAGATGATGTGTGTGAGGAGGAGCAGATGATGTGTGTGAGGAGGAGCAGATGTGTGTGTGAGTAGGAGGAGATGATGTGTGTGAGGAGGAGCAGATGTGTGTGTGAGGAGGAGGAGATGATGTGTGTGTGAGGAGCAGATGTGTGTGTGAGTAGGAGGAGATGATGTGTGTGAGGAGGAGCAGATGTGTGTGTGAGGAGCAGATGTGTGTGTGAGGAGGAGCAGATGATGTGTGTGAGGAGCAGATGTGTGTGTGAGGAGCAGATGTGTGTGTGAGGAGCAGATGTGTGTGTGAGGAGCAGATGTGTGTGTGAGGTGCAGATGTGTGTGTGAGGAGGAGCAGATGATGTGTGTGTGGAGGAGCAGATGTGTGTGTGAGTAGGAGGAGATGATGTGTGTGAGGAGGAGGAGATGATGTGTGTGTGAGGAGCAGATGTGTGTGTGAGTAGGAGGAGATGATGTGTGTGAGGAGGAGCAGATGTGTGTGTGAGGAGCAGATGTGTGTGTGAGGAGGAGCAGATGATGTGTGTGAGGAGCAGATGTGTGTGTGAGGAGCAGATGTGTGTGTGAGGAGCAGATGTGTGTGTGAGGAGCAGATGTGTGTGTGAGGAGCAGATGTGTGTGTGAGGAGCAGATGATGTGTGTGAGGAGGAGGTGTGAGGTATATCGGGAGCATGGAGAGAGCGTCACTGAGGACTAACATCTCTAACAACTGGCACAAACTACGCCCAGCCCACTAAACGAGCTTCGTGACAAACTCAGCCTGCCATCTTAGTGTTGATCATCTGGTATGTGAATAACAAACGTGCCGAAAACTCTTTCCTCGACACGGACGATATGAAAGAGGAAGCCCACGAGAAACACTCACAGGAACTACTGAGACTAACACTGACTCTAGTGTGAGCAGCTCAGACAGACAGGAGGAAAAGAGGAGCAAGAGAAGAATGAAGAGCAGGAGTGAGTCAGGCTGCAGCTCAACTCAGATGTAAACTTGATATTTCTCTTCATCTGGCCGGTGTGTGTGTGTGTGTGTGTGTGTGTGCGCGCATCACGGGCAGGGCGTCCGCGGTTGCCTCTGTGGAAGCCCGTTGTGGGCGGGGCGATCCGAGCGATAGCCTGAGGAGTGGGCGGAGCCTCGCGCACTATTGGCCGGCTGGGATGCGAGGTCACTCTGGGGTCTCGCCCTATTGGCCGGCTGGGATGTGAGGTCACTCTGGGGTCTCGCCCTATTGGCCGGCTGGGATGTGATGTCACTCTGGGGTCTCGCCCTATTGGCCGGCTGGGATGTGATGTCACTCTGGGGTCTCGCCCTATTGGCCGGCTGGGATGTGATGTCGCTCTGGTGACTGCGCTCTCCCTGGTTACGGTAGTTGCTTCGGCCAGGGTTTCGCTCAGGATGGGCGTTTCCATTATAGCGCTGGTTTCCCTGGTAACCGTGAATGAAGCGCCTGTTGCCCTGGAAAATCTGCACAGCAGAGAGAGAGAGACATGTGCCAGTTCAGAGAGAGCACACGACAGCTGGAATAAATGAGCATGTGCGACTCCTCACCTGTTTGTGTGGCCCACCGGGGCGGCCCGTGTACGAGGAGGCCTGAGGCTCAGAGGGGGGCGGAGCTTGGACAGGAACTGAGCCTGTGACGGAGGAAGAGGAGGAGCTACAGCGAGAACGGCTGGAGTAGCTCGTCTGAGGATGATACACTGCACACACACAAACACACATCAACACTTCATATGTTCATTTATATGGAAAACACACAGTCCCGTTCCCTGCCGCACCTGATCCGAACGCCATGATGCTGCACTTCAGAGGCTCCAGATCATGGGAGAATTTCACAGCTTTCCCAAGATCCTCGTCATACTTGCGCTCACTGACAAAGTGCTGGAGAGAGAGAGAGACATGAGGCAACTGCTAAAGAAAAGAGATGTTTGAAATGTTTTAAACTGCAACTTAAGTTTAAACTTTAGCAGTGTGTGTGTTCACCTTAATGTCAGCTCGTAGTTCAGTCAGCTGTTCTTCAGTCAGTGATGCTGATTGGTCAGCCAGTCTCTTCAGCGCCTCCGCTCTCTTCTGACGCCCATCCAGAATCGCCACTGTCACACACACACACACACACACACGTGATGATCATCCCCACTGAACACACAGGGATCTCTCACAAACACTGCTGCTGACTCAAACTACTGGAACATCTTGAGGACACGTGTGTTTCTGAGCCAATCTAAAATATATATACACCTATCATGCAGCCCTAGCTAACAGTTATTAACAGAACAGACAGTTATCAGTGCGGTCACTCTACTCACTGGCTTCTGCTTTGACTTTGTCCATCTCACCGAGAAGCGCCACCTCTCGATCCATGAGACTGAAATGAGAAAAGGAACATTAGAGACAAACAGATCTCATGCTGAAGAAACACTTGCATTGATTTTGAACTGCTGGTTCGCATCCGCTGCTCATAAACGTATCCTGAGATTATTCTGATCAGTCTAAATGCTTTGCTGAGTCTGTTTGCTAAAGCTTGGCTTAACCTGCTGGTCACAGTGGGCGAGTTTAGATTTCCTCGTCTGGGTAACAATCAGGGATTAATGGCATCTGTCCTTTCCATAAATTTAAGACATTAGCAGAACTCATATAGGCCTACTTCATTACATGACTCCAAGTAAAATATAAATAAATGATTTCTTCAAGGTGCATTCAGTAGTTTGATGCTCTGTAGTGTTTGGTGATGAGCGAAGAGTGAAAACAGGAGAATGAGTACCTATACAGATGAAGACGAGCGTGTTAGTGTATGTGAGAGTGCATGTGTAAGTATGTGTGAATGTGTGTGTGTTAGTGCATGCGTGAGCGTGTTAGTGTATGTGTGAATGCGTGTGCGAGTGTGTTAGTGCATGCACGAGTGTGTTAGTGAATGAGTATGCATGCCTGAGTGTGCATGCGTGAGCATGTTAAAGGGACACCAGGCAGGAATCCCGTTTTTGTCAAACAGTGACCCCTAGAGTCGCTGTGGAGAACTTGTATTTAACGTTAATGTCGTAAATACCACTCACGCAGAGCGTGACGTGTTACATAGTATACAATAGTACATTGTTTAATTTGTCGTTTAATGAGATCTAATATATGTTGTTAGTGGTGAGAATTTTCATGTGATTAAATACATAGATCCGACAATTATCCCCATGAACTTTAATGGTCCAGTGGCATGATGGTGAAGATCCTGAAGGCATACAGAATTCCTCCGAATCTACTCCGGGCAATAGAGTCCATGTACTCAGGAACAAGGGCCAGGGTGGTGACTCCAGATGGCAACAGCGAGGAGTTTGACATCCTGGCTGGAGTTATGCAAGGGGATACATTAGCCCCCTTCCTCTTTATCATAGTCCTTGATTATGAACTCAAGAAAGCAATCAGTGGGCGAGAGCAGGAACTTGGCTTCACGTTGACACCAAGGAAGTCAAGTCGGCACCCGGCAGTAGTCTTGACAGACCTTGACTATGCGGATGACATTAGTTTGCTCTCCAATAACATGGAACAAGCTCAGGAACTACTACACATGGTGGAGCTAGAGTGCACTAAGGTTGGCCTTAGGGTAAATGCAAAGAAAACTGAGGTCATGACCTACAACGTACCACCGGAACATCAACCTCTGATAACAGTAGGAGACACTGTGCTGAAAGAAGTTGAGGACTTTAAGTACCTGGGCGCATGGGTCAACTCAACTGAGCAAGATCTAAAAGTGAGGAAGGCACTTGCATGGAGGGCCCTGAACAGCATGAACAGTGTAAGGAACTCCAACCTCTCCCGCCAAATCAAACTCAGCTTCTTCTACGCGACAGTAGAGTCTGTTCTCCTCTATGGCAGTGAATGCTGGACCCTGAATCCAACCCTAGAGAAGTCCCTGGACGGGTGCTACACCAGGATGCTGCGTGCAGTGCTTAATATCAGTAAGAGTGTGCATGTAACCAACAAAATCCTGTATGAGGGAGTATCAAGAGTGAGCAACAAGATTGCTGTGAGGAGAATGAGACTTGCAGGACATTGCCGAAGGCATCGCGAGCTGCCAGCCAGCAAGCTGGTGCTATGGGAACCAACACATGGTCAAGAGGACGTCCCACGCTAACATACGTGGACATACTCAAGAGGGATACAGGAGCCCAGAGCACCAACGAACTGGCCGGATGCATGGAGAATCGGGATGCCTGGAGGCAACGATGGAAGGCTCGTCTGAGGACGACTTCGAGAGAGAGTGGCAGAACTTTTGCCAAGTGTGTCAGAAGTTCTGGGTTCTAATCCGTACTAGTAGTATAGTTTATTTTCCTCATCAAAACCGATTGTTTATTAGTGATTGTATATCAATGTGTGGCCACCATTCAACCCGAAAGAAGTCATATAACCATTTCAATAACTCTGAAGCTGTTCAGTTAAGCTAAAAAAACTGCATAGAATCCCTTTAAGGTATGCGTGTGGGAGTGTGTGAGTGCATGCGCGAGCGTGCGTTAGTGAATGCGTTAGTGAATGCATGTGTGAGTGTTAGTGCATGTGTGAGCGTAAGTGTTAGTGTATGCGTGCGTTAGTGTGTTAGTGCATGAGTGAGCGAGCTGTTAATGTATGTGTTAGACCATGCGTGAGTGTTTCTGTGTGAACGCGTGTGCACGTGAGTGTGTTAGTGCATGCAAGAGCAAACTGTTAGTGTATGTGTTAGAGCATGTGTGAGCGTGTTAGTGTGTGTGAATGCGTGTGTGAGTGTTACTGTGTGAATGCGTGTGCGTGAGCTTGTTAGTGCATGCGTGCGTGAGTGTTACTGTGTGTGAGAGTGTTACTGTGTGTGAGAGTGTTACAGTGTGTGAGAGTGTTACTGTGTGTGAGAGTGTTACTGTGTGTGAGAGTGTTACTGTGTGTGAGAGTGTTACTGTGTGTGAGAGTGTTACTGTGTGTGAGAGTGTTACTGTGTGTGAGAGTGTTACTGTGTGTGAGAGTGTTACTGTGTGTGAGAGTTTTACTGTGTGTGAATGCGTGTGTGCGAATGTGTGTGTGTGCGTGCGTGAGTGTGTGTGTGTGTGTGTGTGAGAGATACCAGCTCTGCAGCTCAGCAAACGTCTGCTTCATTCTCTTGATGGAGAAGTCCATCTCGTCCTTCACCACGACTCTGTAGCGAGACAGTGACGCCGCACATCTCTGCAGGTCCTTCACGGAGCGATCCACGTTCGGCCCTGACAAAACACCAAACACTTACAAAGCTAGCATCTGAGAGTCACCTGAGAGAGCACACCACCTCATGATGGATCACTACGGTCACTCCGAGCATGAAGAGTGTACTGTGTTCACTTGAGTATCTGTGTGTGTGCTTGTGACGCATGAGCCACAAAACTACCAGCTATTGGGCATCGTCAAGAATGAAACATTTTGTACCGGTCTAAACAAAAGTTTGGATACTTTTCACTACTGTATGTCTCTTAAAAGAAGTTTAAAAAGCCTCATTATTATGATGATAAACATGAAAAAAAAAAAGATGAAGAGTGTGTCACATGATTGATGACATCATTGTTCCCATATTTCCATTTTTGTCATTTCAGCGATGATCACTGCACTATTATTTTAACGTGGTCAGAATAAAGAACGAGTAGATGCGGCAAACCCTTAAATGCTCGTTCCCAAAGCTAACCCTAACACAGAAAATCACCAACCTGTACGTCTGCCCTCCACCAAACACGCGTCTGTTAGGACCTTAAATTAATTACTTTGATAATCAACTAATCTTACAATCACTGGAACGATCAGTTGACTATTCTGGCTATTTTTGCAATGATCAATCATTAGCTCTTATAAATGGACACAAAGGCTTTTTGTTTTGGTTTTAAGTCATATGTACAAACCATAAATTGGTCTTTTTCCATGGTAAAGGTCCTTTCACACTGGACGCGATTCTGACGCACGAATAATTTGCGCGATGGTTTTATTTTTTGATCAGCGGTTTGTGTAATGAGTGCTTCCACACCGAACGCGAATGTGCTGCGGCGAAAAAACGACTTATTTCGCTTCAATGTCGATATTTTTTTTACTTTTGAGGCGATAGAAAAGGTTTCAGCCAATCACATACAAGGAAACAAAGGTGACGTCACAGCAACAATGAAGGATCTTCTGATTGCTTGTGTGAAAAAAGGTGTATGCTCCCCCGTAAGAAAATGTTGTGCTTTTTAATGTTAAATTCATCAATCTGGTCCACTTTGAGAGTTCAAAATTAAGAGCTCCAACCCATATTCAGTGTGCAAATTAAACAAAGAAAAATTCAAACCTCTTTTATTACAGTGTCTGTCTACATTACACTACTACATAATAGTTATAATATTAATCCCATGATAGTAATAGCATATTGTAAAACAAATGCACTGAAAAATAAAGGAAACTTTCATAATTAGTCTTGTACTAATTTCTATACTTGAAAGAGTATATTTCTATACTTCACTCGCATTAAAGATGTGATTGGGCCAGCCCAGTGTCAATCAAGAAAACACCAATGAGCCGCTGGTCTACGTGTTTCATGGGGTGTCAGAAAAAAAACTAACGCGGACTTATTTTTTGACTGCATTAACGTTACACCGGCTCTAACCCAGCGCCGCCAATTAAGCAAAACAAAACGAATGGGCCGTCGATGTACGAGTTCTATGGGCCGTTAAGACAAAAAACAAAAAGTATGAGATGTATCGGCCCAAAAAGCACGACGTCGGTCCAGCGGGAATCTCCTCGTAGTCCCGATGGCATTAGCATGCCTGGACGCCACACTTTAAATCCTACCTGTTGCCTTGGCTTTCACCGTGCACTTATTTAGCTGCGGTCGCATCAATTGACATGCCATCTCCTTTCCCCTCTATCTTTTTCTATTTTTAGCCCCCCGACAGCTTTTTTGCTTTATCCGTCTTTTTCGACGACAACTCACTAACGTTACTCGTTCCTGCTCGCTCTGCGCTAACGGCGCCCGCTCGCGATATTACAATATATATACCGCTCGTTTTATAACATTGAGGAAATGCAGAAATGATTTAGAAACACAACAGCAGCTCCATGTAGAAAATACCCCCCCAAAAAAATTTAACCATCACTTTTGATCTAAAATTCGTCAAAATCACTGTCTGTATCTGACAGGACAGTTAACATTGTAAGCTAACTTACTCAGGCTTGCTTTCCGACGTGCAGTTCTTTGTTCGGCAGTGAGTCCAGTTGTCAGACTCACTCGTGGTGTAAAATACTTTGAAAACAATTCTGCCCTACCCTGACTCTGATTGGCTGTCAGGTATCGGCATTAGGAATGATGATTGTTTTTTTTAAAGCTGCAAAGTTTATAGAGATATAGCGGGTAAATGCTGGCCACGGCCATGACCACGAAAAGTGAACTCCTGGTGAAAGCGAGCTACACCTGCCAGGAGTTACTGACATAATATGTAATGTCCCATAATTAATGGCCCTACTCAAAGCTGCCAGATCAGACAAAAAATATATAAATTCAAGATGTACTGAATCCGGTAAGAACGCATTTGATCTTTAGACTTCTAATGGAATTTATGTGCTTATTTGGAAATGTGCTTTTTAGCGATTGGGATATTTTTTTTACTTAATTATTTAGATTGAATAGACAATAGTGACGTGCACAGCGCCGTCAGTAACATTTTTATAAAGCCTATTAGCAATTTAAAGCATGTTAACATCACTGCAAAAAGACATCTAATATAAAATCTACATTTATTCACCTAGTATAATAACAGTAGTTCTCTCCCTCGTGTCCCGCAAAATCAGGTCTGCTGTCCGGCAACAGAGCATTAGCCAGGTGGCCACCAAAGTCGGCGCGAATGTTTTGAAATATTGAAGCTCTAATCGTCGCAAATTCGCGCCGTGGCTGATGTGAATGGTTCTATTCGCACGCGAACTATTCGCTTTTTCGTTCTGCTTTTTCGTTACGCGTCTGGTGTGAAAGGGCCTTAAGGCTTTCTGTGTCGCAGAGGCATCATTTCACTACACTACTTAAAGAACATTGATATGAAATACACGCTTTCCCTGCAACACAAATCATCCAATAAAATTGAGAACTAACTAAAGCTGTTGTTCGTGAGAACTATCCCTTTAGTGTTAATATAGCTTATAACATACTTCAATCTCTTGTGAAACAGTGAAAGCTGTTTGACCTCGTCTACGATTATAACAGACATGTAAACTTAAACACTCACTCGTTTGAACACTTATATTAGCTTATGAAATGAAAAATGCTTTAACATTAACTCACTGCTTCATCTGCACAACAGTCACATTTCACCGCTGCTCACGTCTCTCTCATGCCTGTTTTTATTTTTATTTTACATGCACATTGTGCTCCCATTGAGCGCAAGCTCCGTTTTGATATGTCACATGACAGGATTATTTGTTTGTAATTTCGTCAAACTTTCGCACGCTTTGACTAGCGATCAGAAGAGGTTCTGGTTTATGTGTTGCCTGTGGACTGATGTGGAGTTGTGCTACTACTCTTCCTTAGGTTTAGGGTTAGCCTCCGCCTATAGTGTGGGCTAGGGATGGAAATTAACTTTTTTGTCCACCGGCCACTGTGGCTGGTGGATTTCAAAATCTACCAGCCACTCAATGTTTTTACCAGCCACTTTCTTGTTTTTAACCGACAATGTGTAACTGCATGTGAAAATTAATACTACAAGAATACTTAAGCAGTTTATTTAATCTCAAGTCTCAATGAAATACTGACATTTTCTCTTTCTCTCACCCTCGGCCTCATCCACCTAATCTGTCATTTATTTTTGTTTTGATGATAAATTGAGCCAGCCTCCAAAAGTAATTAACCTGTCCTGTGATTTTTTTCTCTCTCACACGACACTCTCCAGACACGGATTTATGAGCCATAGTATGTTGGTTGCCTTTACATTAGAATAATATTTAATATAATCTAGATATGAAATGTAATAAATAGCATTCAATACAAAATGAATATGTCTCATATATTGAAATCAAGTTTTATGTGATAAAATATTTGCTTTGTTGTGCATTAGAACCACATCAGGCATTTAGTACAAAATAATTTATTGAAGCATCCAGATACTTCACCACGTGACAGCAGCTAGGCTCCTGATTGGTTAACGCGGCGCGAATTGACGCTAAAGTTTAGATTTTTCAACTCGGGCGGCAGACGCGAATTCGTGTCAAACGCGTGAATGCACAAAAGCACTCAATAAAATCATGCGCTCGAACTTGCCGCGCGAATGAGGCGTATTCGCATCTACCACGGCGCGCTCTACACCTCATTCGCGGCGCAGGAATTTTTTACGCGCGTAACGCGTCTTTGCATTGACTTAATGAAATCACTCGCGCCAGACGCTCTATTCTCGTCTGGTGTGAACGCACCATGATGTTTTCTCTGCAGACCTCTACGCCTGCGATGTAACGCCACATTTTGTTTGAAGGTGTGCCTCCTCTAAAAGTGTCCGCCGTCCGGGTGAAACAGTATGCTATTTTTATTTACCCGCCACGGTGGCGGTAGGTGAAGCGAGTTTACCCGCCACAACACAAAATCACCCGCATTTGGCTGGTGGCGGGTGCTAATTTCCATCCCTAGTGTGGGCTAGGGTTAGCCTCCGCCTATAGTGTGGGCTAGGGTTAGCCTCCGCCTATAGTGTGGGCTAGGGTTAGCCTCCGCCTATAGTGTGGGCTAGGGTTAGCCTCCGCCTATAGTGTGGGCTAGGGTTAGCCTCCGCCTATAGTGTGGGCTAGGGTTAGCCTCCGCCTATAGTGTGGGCTAGGGTTAGCCTCCGCCTATAGTGTGGGCTAGGGTTAGCCTCCGCCTATAGTGTGGGCTAGGGTTAGCCTCCGCCTATAGTGTGGGCTAGGGTTAGCCTCCGCCTATAGTGTGGGCTAGGGTTAGCCTCCGCCTATAGTGTGGGCTAGGGTTAGCCTCCGCCTATAGTGTGGGCTAGGGTTAGCCTCCGCCTATAGTGTGGGCTAGGGTTAGCCTCCGCCTATAGTGTGGGCTAGGGTTAGCCTCCGCCTATAGTGTGGGCTAGGGTTAGCCTCCGCCTATAGTGTGGGCTAGGGTTAGCCTCCGCCTATAGTGTGGGCTAGGGTTTAGAGGGCTGCATTGGGATTGAGTCCCGCCGGGTCCCGCGGGACCCAACGCAAATCTCGCGGAAGCGGGCGGTTTGCACTTTGCTGCGGGCGGGAATGGGCGGACAAATAAAACCCCTGCGGGATTGGGAGGTAGCCTAACGACATGATGGAGATGTCAATGATGTGGAAAAGAACCTTAAACGAGGTATTTACAGCACAAAACCTGAGCAAGGCAAGTCTGACATTTACTATTCATCTTCCTGATCAGTGCGTCAGAATACATGCAGGCCAGGAAAACGAAACCAACGACCCCATGAATCTCTTTAACAATAGCAATAAAAATACGCGTTTTTTTCCTGCGGGAAGGGAGAAGACACAAAGTCAGTGCATCTCTATTATTGTGCGGGAATAAATTATCCGAGTTTTGCGGGTGCGGGCGGGAGTGGACATACATATTGCGGGAGCGGGCGGGAGTGTAACACATACGTTGCGGGAGCGGGCGGTAATGGTCAAATTCGGCGGGCGCGGGCGGGATGAAGAAAACAGTCCCGCGCAGGACTCTACTAGGGTTAGCCTCCGCCTATAGTGCCGATGCCAGGGTCCGCTGGGCTAACTAGCCCACTGATCATCCTCAAGATGAACTTTCCTTTTATTTAAACCGCCAGTGAAACGGCCGGAAGAACTTCGCCTCAGCATCCCACAGGTTTTCATTCGCCCGGGTATTTTCAGAGCAGACAGGGAGACAAACGACAGCAAATCAGTCACATAAAAGTCATAATAACAAACAGATTACCAGCGATCTTCCTGGCAGCAGAACCTCGCCATGCGTCTTCGAAAGGAATGGGCATCGAGGGATTCTGGGAGCTGGAAACCGGCTTGGACTGAGACTTGTTACTACGGAAACCGTGATGGTTCTGCCGCGGCCCGTCAGTGGTGCCGGGGCTTGAAGAGGACGTGACCTCTCCACCTGCAGAGACGAACCCCGTCAGCACCAGCAGGAGACAGAAGAGCATCACATGACCTCAGCGAACGCACCTGTGGCCTCTGAAGCCTCCGGGACGGCAGGCTCCGGCTCGAGCTCCGCTGCGTCCAGAGAAGCGCAGTCCAGCTGCTCACTCAGAGAGTCCAGGGACTCGCACTCGGCTGCTGCAGAACCGTTCGCATGGAAGCCGTTCACAGCCTCCTGACACTCAGCGTCTGGGGGAGATTCGGCAGGAGTCGCGTCTGCGGGAACATCGCTCTGGGCTTTCGGCTTCTTCTTCTTCTTGGGCTGTGAATCAGAGCAAACGCATGTAACACTGAAGAACAGCAGGAAAACAGGCAGCCGGCACTGATTCCTACCTTGCATCACATACACGTTTAACCCTTTTGTGTCAATTTTAAAATAGTTACTCTGAGGTTTTGAGAGGACAAAAACACCCATGACAGATTATTGTTGAAGTGAAAAAAAAAAAAAAAGTTAAGAGCTTTTAGTTTATGACTTATAAAATATATATTTTATAAAGCATTTTGAACTCAAAAACTTCTAGAAAACCAAAGCCATAAATCTATAAAAAATTGTGTTCCAAAATTGAGGTTTTCAAAAAGGTTTTGTTTGGTCGCAGAAACAAACATTTACTTTTTTCATTAGATGCCAGCAAAGCTGCAGATGGCAGATCGCAGCATAATTTATCTCTCTCTCTCTCTCACACACACACACACACAGGACAAAAGTGAGTATTTGCTTTATAGGCCTATCTGGTAATAATTAAACAAGTACAAAACATTTTTTTGAGCCTTGCTAACAAATTGAAAGCCTATTAACAAAGACTGAATTATTTTATAGTTAACCCTAGATTAAACATTTTATTTGCAGTTTTAATGGATTTCAATGGGGACATTTGTGTACCTACTGTAAAATAGATTTATGAAAGGAAATGAGGGTGAAATATTAACTCCAATAAAAATACATACTTCTGGCAATATTTAGATTTAAGAAAAAAAAGGGGAAAAAAGACAAAACTATCCTTAGGGACACACAGGGGTCAAACTGCACAGTTTGTTTACAGTTTTATTTCATGATCATCATCACATTATGATTTCCTCACCTTCTTTTTCCCAGTGGTATTCCACTCCTTCAGGATCTCCACGGCACTACCTGACAGCGCACACACACACACACACACAGCAGTGAGAGCAGTCATGCAAGTCTCAGATCACACTAAATGGAATTTTTTCACAGACTGTGATGATGTGTTTTTATATATATATATATATATATATATATATATATATATATATATATATATATTTTTTTTTTTTTTTTTTTTTAAATATGCATGTACATTTATAAAACTATACTTTGTATTATATTACCTCTGCATCAAATTACAAAAATTGCACACAAAAAAAAAACTAGTTAACGCTGCTGTGAGTGTTTCTAATACAGCGGCTGTGAGAGTGGCGGTAAAACTGCCGTTATCAAACACTCTCCATCTTTTTTTCCCTCTTCTGAAAGTTGTGAAAACACTGTTTAGTTTTTCTTTTGCTATTTGAGCAATTGGGAACAGTATTCACTACGTGGTAATGTAATCTCTCATTCACCAGTATAGAAGTTTACCCAACTATGACGACTTCTGCTTCTGAGAAACCCGGAAATGTGAAAAGGGCCAATGGAGCAACATTTGCATTGAGTGTGTGTTTGTACCTTCAACAAACGCCTGCACCGCTCGATCCACGCAGTTCTCGAAGTGCTGCAGCACCAGAGCGATCTCATTATTGCTCTTATTGGGAACCACAGCTCGCACAGCGTTGATCTGACAAGAGCAAAAACATTCAGTGAGTGCAGCCGCCCAGTTCATTGGAAAGAGAGAAAAACACGGACACAAAGAGCATCATAAATAACAGCCAACAAATCTCACATTGCATTTTCAGGCTGGCAGGGGCCGTTCACTCAGAACCATTAGCGTCTCTCGTTCTGTGTAAACGGTCCCCAAGACAAACACAAGAAGCCATTAGTACCTTTTCTTTCATCTTCTCAAAAGATCCTCCTTGAGACATCACCATTTTTGAGTGCGTGTCGAACACCACTCCTGACACATCTGGAGGAAGAAGAGCGGAGGAAACATTCTTAGAGATTTCCACGTGTTCAGTTGAAATCGCAGCTTGACTTCATCAGTGGAGAGAGTCTTGGCAGAGGATCTCGGTAAAGCTTTCCCCCAAAAATATGTAGGTCAAGAGAAGAGCCAGGGAGGGACGTCCCGAATCCCGATTAGGGCTTTCTGCCCCTGATCCGAATCAGAATCATTTAATATGAAGTATCTGCTGAAATCAACTTCCAATCCCATTCTTGTATTTTTGCTTAGTTCACACAAGTACATTAAGCCCCGATATACTCACAGCAAAGTTCTTTTTCGTTCTTCATTTAGGAGTAAATACAGGAGCAGCCTTACACTGCTGAGAGCGACGGCTAGATGAATATGTAAATATGTGCTGCACGCTTTCCTCTCAATCAAATACACAACAAAATTTAGAAAACTGCAAACATTAAAAAAAAAAAAGTATTTGATAATAGCAACGTGGTCTTGTTTGCACAAGCTCTACGGGACTCGAGTGAAGTCACGTTTATTTATATACCACTTTATAGACTAGATCAGAGGGTCTCAACCTTTCGGAACTAAAGCCTCCCCAATCATTTGGTAGAAAGAACGAGATTCACGAGCGCACAGCACAGCGTTTGAGCACACACACACACACACACACACCATATCTGAGCGAGAGCCGTGAGACCACTGTATATTTGCGATCGCACGTCCAGTTTTGTGCGCGAGTGAAAAATCCTTCTGCGAGTGGAGATTCATTACATGGATGCCCTCTCGCGTTACAATAATGCGCTCTTGACATTTGTCATTAAAATAACGCCATAGAAACGGCCTCAAATTACCTATAAAAATGAGAAGAAAGTCTTGTCTGAAAGCTGCAATCATTCCTTATTATTATTGGTTAAAATGAATGGAGAATATCTGGTGTTTTTCCTCGGCGCCTAGGTCTCTGACCCTAATCCTCACTGAAGTAACGGCCGAATTGTTGTTTCAGTCCTTCAACATGTTGAGCGACTGTGTTGATCAAAGGAGAGATATTTATCAGTCTCTTGCACATAGCAGCGAAATTGGGAAACATCATGCAACATTATTATGAATCAGCCGATCACGCCAAAGATCCAACGAATGCACAGACTGTGTCAGAAAGCGGCAAGATGTTGGCATCCAACCTGTTGAATATCTTTACACAGTATGACAACTGCGCTGACCACAGGGGTCGTCAAGGTCCGCGCAAGGTTGGACTTTATGCGTTCATGAGCTCAAGGCTAGATTACTGTAATGCTCTACTGGGTGGTTGCCCTGCACGCTTAATAAACAAACTACAGCTGGTCCAAAACGCAGCCGCTCAAGTTCTTACCAGAACCAGGAAGTATGACCATATTAGCCCGGTTCTGTCAACACTGCATTGGCTCCCTATTAAACATCGTATAATTTTTTAAATATTGTTGATTACCTACAAAGCACTGAATGGTTTAGCTCCCAGTACTTGAGTGAGCTCTTAACGCATTATAGTCCTTCACGTCTATTGCGATCTCAAAGTTCTGATCAGTTGATAATACCTAGAATATCTAAATCGACTGCTGGCGGGAGATCCTTTCCCTATTTAGCACCAAAAACTTTAGAATTTTTTTAAACTCACACACTATCTCTCCCAGCCAATCTGCAATATAACCAAACTGATAAATGACTGCAGTTTTACTGGTACAGTGACTATTACAGTGCAGATTTTCAAGTTAATAACAAAAAGGCAGACCTACAATTTACACAAAGAATCTTTAAAGCTGCAGTGTGTGGATTTCTCTTTAAGCAATATTTCTCAAGCCCTTGAACGGTGAAACTGATAAGGCATACAGCTGGTTAGAAATCCCAGCCATAAAGCAGCCGGACTGCAGTGACGTGTGTTTTAATCAGGTCAAAGGCTGTTCAAAAGATGCTGCTTCGTACAGTTTACAGTGTGTTTTACTCCGTTTAGCCTCGCCACACACACACACACTCGATCAGAGTTCAGGCCAGGAATTTGCAAAGTCATTGAAACGAAAAGTTTTCATTTGCCAAACAAAACTGGAGACTGCAGACAGAGCATCTAAACTGCACAGAAAGAAGTAAAGAAATGTTTCATTGAGTGCAAACGTAGTCTAGTCTTAGACATGATTTGTGTTTCTACCAAAGACTCCAAAGATCCTCATGTGAAGGGCATCCAGCAGTCCCAGAGCGTTCGAGGCCCGACAGAAAGAGTGAATCAGCGGGTCACATGACCACTTTCTCCCGCTTCTGCATCTGCTCTAACTCTGAATGCAGGCTACGAATCCTCACTAACCAAGATAAAAGCCATAAACAAAAGGCACAAATGATGTTATCAGTGCTTTAATGTTCTCAGGTCTCTAACAACAGAAAGTCAAAAGTAAGATAAAACTAATAAAAGCACAGACTGAGACAGAAACATGCTTCAGATCATCGGCGAGTAGGACGACGGCTCTTCAATGGTCACTGCCATAATAAGAGACATCTAGATCTATATAGAACAGCTATAGCTGCAAAGTACATACTTCATATTTACTTAAACATACAAATATAAAAATGTGAAAACCTATAGAAAAGTGCAAAGTTCCTACAAAAAGTTAAGACACACAAAGCGAGTTCTAACCGTGATAGCCATCGGGCCGAACGGCTCCAGTTATACTCCCACTTGAGCCTGGTTCAGCACGATTACAAACCGTTCTCGGCCCAGAATCCTCAGCAGGGTAAGCAACTAGGGGTGGGGAACACCTATTCTCAGATGCATCGCGATGCGGACGGTTCTGAATCGAATCACAAATGTCAAAAATCAATATTATTCTAAATGTTAATTGATAACGTAATGTTGACGAAAGGCCGAAGGCGCCTGGACAGTCTGCGGTGTGCAGATGTGCACAGACACGCGTAACGGACGAGCGAGGGGCCGACCGGCACCCTATAGCGCATTAACAGCGTAACTCTGGCTTATATGGACGTTGTCCAATTGATGAGAACTGGAACTTCTGTTACATACGAGAAACATCAAACGGCAAATGAAATGAAAGTGAAATGAAACCGCGCTACCCGTTTGAGCTGTGGCGCGCGGACCGTTTAGCGCAGCGCGAGCTCAGAGCAGGGTTACTCGTGGGCCGATCTCAATCACGCGACACTGTTATTACACAGCGCTGGGAGATCCAGTGAGAAAGCGTTTGAATTCACCGCAGAATTAATAACATCGCAGCGAAATCTAATTGGAAGCATTCAAATTCGACACAGAATTCTGTTATAAAACACACGGCAGATCAAACGGCGCTGACGTGAAAACCAGGACAACCTTAAGGCCGCGTGTCCACCAAAGCGTTTTTAGCCGGCTGGAAACGCCTAGCTGTGGGCGCTTGAGAGCGTTTTGGCAGCACAGCGATTTGTTTGTTTTTACAGTTGAGACGCTTTGCTATGATAAGGAGTATCCGCGGAAGTGTTACTAGCATCTCATTTCACAGATAGTTTGTTTCTGTGTTTCTAAAAAAGTCGATACAATGTAAAGTATTTGCTCTGGCTCTTGTTTTAAATTATTTTGTTGCGTTACTATGCTTGTTGTTGTCATCTGTTGGCGTTGAACAAGCAGAATGTGATCGTTGGTCGCTGTGGTATTTGTCCCGCCTCTCCTCCAGGGATTGGACGGCTGGGTGAAAAGTGACAGTGATGAGCGCTGTGTTTTACCCAACGTGGAACATTCTTCAACTCTCGGCAACTGGTAAAAACCAGTTGCCTAACTAACCCTAACCCTAAAAAACACAAAACCCAGAACGCTCAGCGCTTCAGCGAGAAAAAGACGCTCAGCGCCTGGTTACGCACATGCCGTTTTAATAGCGCGGCGCTCCCATTGAAAAAATACGCCAGCCGTGTGAAAACTTTTTGGTGGACACAGGGCCTAAAAGCCTCCACCCAACTCGGAGAAGGCAAAGCGAATTACAAACTCTATCACAACATTTATTGCCTAATCCCTTCCATTTGTTTATTAAAATATATTGGAAGTAAATTCATTATGGATCATTACAAATATTTTGCTTTAAAAGTACCAAGTAGTCACACAGTGAGGAAAAAGAAAATCTGTATAGAAAAAGATGCATCGATAATCGTTTTATCATCGCATCGTAACCGAATCGAGTCGTGAGGTGGCTAGAGATTCCCACCCCTATAGGCCTATTTCACAAGATGGCCGCCGAGACCGGAAGTAGGGTAAACTCTTTTCCGGTGAAAGCGCTAGCAGTTACAGTCGGAGGACAAATGCGGAGACTATAAGCGGTTTAGTCCTGTTGCTTACCTTTTTTATGGTGTTTATGTCAACCCAAAGAAGAAACAACCCTATTTATCACTTCACAGCTTTCCGTGTCTTACGGGTTTTCATGGAACAACTGGGGAGAGGTTAAATCACGCCAGACACAGACGGCAAAAAGACTTCTGGTCGCGCCGCCCGCCCGAATCGCCGTTCATTTTCAAAATGGACTTTGAACAGCTTGTTTTCTCTCCCAGTCATTCATATAACGTTATCTGACAAAAGTAAGAATATCAGATGTTGTCCGTTTTGTTGATAGTTTTCAGGGAGTTGTGAAAAGATCGAAATTGGACAAATTCTTGACGTTTGCTTAGTGCTTACATAAAAAAAAGTTCCATTCATTTTTGGCATGACACTTGATGACTAAGCTCACATTTAACGTTAATATATCGAAAAACAATAAATAAATAAATTGAAATGATGTCTGATTGTAGGCTATGAGTGAAATCTAGTGGCTTTTGTTAAAAAAATCATGTTATTAAGTGTTAGTCCAGGAGATTGCAGCAATCTTCCACTACTAGATTATGGCTCCTTTTTCATGTTACCATGAATGAAACTAAGAATTGTACATCTTTACAGTGAATTTGACCTAACGTTGCTAGTATGTCTAATAATGAAATTAAGGCAAATAAAAAAAATTGTTAGACTAAAAACATGAATGAAGTGATTG